TTGGAACCCAAAAATTTTAGTCAAGCTGCAAAATCAGAAAATTGGCAGTTGACTATGCAAAAAGAATATCAAGCCCTCATTAAAAATGATACTTGGCGCTTAGTTCTGTATGATCCTTCCATAAACATCGTCGGAACTAAGTGGATCTATAAGATAAAGAAAAAGGTCGATGGTACCATTGATTGCTACAAAGCCAAACTAGTTGCCCAAGGATTTCATCAGGTTCCAGGACTTGATTACTTTGACACCTTTAGCCCAGTTGTCCAACCAGTCATCGTACGGACGGTTCTCTCTATTGCTCTTGCTCACAACTGGCTAGTGCATCGGTTGGATATAGATAATGCTTTTCTCCATGGTTTACTTGATGAAGACATTTATGTGCATCAACACAAAGGGTTCGTTGATCCCAGACACCCAACTCATGCCTGCAAATTAAAAAAGGCACTTTACGGGCTTAAACAAGCACCTCGAGCTTGGTACTTATGTTTGAGCTCCGTCCTCAAACAAATGGGCTTTCGCAACTCTACAGCTGATCCATCACTATTTATCTTCACCTCCAACCAAATCATGCTGATACTTTTGGTGTATGTCGATGACATCATTCTCACTAGGAATTCTTCTGCATCTATGAATGGCTTTCTTCACTCCCTATCTTCGGTATTTCCATTGAAGGATTTAGGGTCTCTTCGTTATTTTTTGGGCATCGAGGTCAACCGTTCCTCTGGCAGTTTATATCTCTCACAACAACGCTACATTCTGGACTTGTTACATCGGACGAACCTAGAAGGAGCCAAACCTACAAGCTCACCCATGGCTACCTCTAGCCATCTCTCTAAGGATTCTGGAAACCCCTTGCCTAATCCAACGGAATATCGCAATATTGTTGGAGTTCTTCAGTATGTCACCATTACTCGACCATATATCTCCTTTGCTATTAATAAAGTGTGTCAGTTTCTTCACTCTCCCACTGATGAGCATTAGACAGCAGTTAAAAGGATTCTTCGTTACCTCAAAGCTACTATCTCTCATGGCCTTACATTCCGGTGTTCCACTTCTTGCCAATTAGTTGCTTACATTGATGCTGATTGGGCTAGCTATTCGGATGACTGGCGCTCCACTGGTGGGTATGCTATATCTTGGCTCCAATCTCATTGCTTGGAGCTCCAAGAAACAACAAAAAATAGCTCGCTCCAGCACTGAATCTGAGTTTCGAGCTCTTGCAAATACTGTGACAAAATTGTTGTGGGTTCAGTCTCTCCTCAAAGATATTGGATGTTGGGCTCCTCCATCAATCCTTTGGTGTAACAATATGGGAGCTACCCACTTGGCTGCCAACCCTATTTTTCATGCTCATACCAAACAAGTGGAAGTGGATTTTCATTTTCTTCGAGATCTCATCACTCAGAAGAAGCTTCAAATTCGGTACATTCCCACTGCAGATCAGATAGCTAACACCCATAACACCTTTTCAAAAAAAAAAAAGTCATTTTCAAAATGAAACCATAACACCTTAATTTCTTACAACCATGAACTTCACACCACCCAACAAGATTCCATAATTATCCTTAATTGCATGATTGATATGGAGTCTCTCACGTAACGCAACAATCCCATATCATAATAAGGTTGGGCTAAAATGACCTGAATTTCCTCCTTAATTGAAGAGGAATTTGAACTGCTGCTTTCTGTGATGACCCAAACTTTTCCTACTTCAATCTATAAAGCGTAAATCATGGTTGATTAATTTCCCTTTACAAAGTCAAGTAAGGCTAAACCTCCAGGATGGGAAATTGACTGACCACTAACACAACCAATACTGAGAAGAAAAAAAAAAACACAAAACCAATGGGCAATGGCTATTACTCTCCTCGGAGCCAAAGTCCAAATTCCAATGTATAATTGGATAAATTGCTGAAACTTCCCCCGAAGTTTAAACAATTGCAATCAATTTTTCTGAATTTTATGATACAATTGCAAGTAATCCCCTTTGGTAGAATCTTCTAAGACAATGCATAAAAATGTTTAAAAATATCTATACAGTTACTTTTGAGGTTGATTTCTACGAAAAAGCAATACAAACTTTATGAACAACAAAAATAAAGAAAATTTGAAGTTGCAGCTTTATCTTTGAGTGATTGATATGAAGCGAAAATTTGGAAAATAAATCAATTTCAGAGAAGAGAATGGAAGGGTATGGGATAGTGATTCATATGAAGAGAAAATTTGGAAAATAAACATGTTTGTTAAAAGTAATTGCATGGGTATTTTGGACATTTTCATGGCTCTTTTAAAAAAATTATACTAGAGAGGATCTATTTATAACTAATGTCAGAAAGTTCAGAGGAAATGATTGCAATTGCCAGACTTTGGGGAAGTATCAACAACAACCAAAAATTTCAGGGGAGGTTTTAGCAATATACCCATGTATAATTTAATAATTTTTTCTTGCTAAGAAAAGATTTCGAATTCCTTTAATCTAAAACTCAAAGTACCAAGGGTTTAAGATTTAAAGCCTTAGCATAAGAGTAACAGAATTAATTCTCCCTTCAAATACAACGGGCTGTCCCCGTATTAAAACCTTTTATGGCTAAATGCATATCTATTTATCAATTGTATCGTACAATTGAACTAGAGGAAATTTGGCATTGATATATTTCTTTTACCGTTTCGTTTCGTTGTAAGCAGCAAAGCAGCAGAGCCTTGGGGTATTACCACTCCACACAAGTGAGAATACTTATTGGGCTTGTAACATATTCTCTAATCTCTATTACTATGTTAAATAAAAACCAAATAACCTCTCTAATCTCAAAACTCATTATTCAGAAAAAGAGTCGCATCTGAGCAGTTGAATTTCTTGTTCTGCACATGGGTTTTCTGGAATCGAGGTTCTAAGATCTCAGACTCCTTGTGAAACCGTGTGAAGAACTACTTACAGAGACGGGAACCCCACCTACAGATTGATAGAATTAGTCAGAGTCAAAGAGAGTCTGCTAATATAGAACATAACACGTTTGAACTTTTTGACAAACAATATGAGACATAGGACCAACTTAGGGCCACAAACAATATATGTGGCCCTAATTTAACGAATTTGTCTAGAGGCCAAGGGCCATTTGATATTAATTATTGTTGAAGTGGTTGAGCTGAATGATAAAATATCTAGAGGCTGCGAGCCTGTAATAATAGAAGTTGGGTTGATTACCATGCCCATGCCGATCAAAATTAACCAAAGCATAAATCATTCAGTCATTCAGTTAAATTCAGGCCCCATTTGATTGACAGGAATAGGGGTATGCAACCGGATTCGATTCCAACAGTTTGGTTGGATGGAATTGAAATTCCATTTTCATTCCTAGTGGAATGGCCATTCCCTCCCCCCTCTCTTGGAATGACCGAATGAAATCTCATTTTTGCTGATTGCAATATTAATTGTCATTCTTATTCTTGCTTGAATGAAACGGACTATAGAAATAGACTATTTCGATTCTGATCCCGACTATGAATCAAACTTTCTACTTGAATCAATCAATCAAATAGGAAATTGATTAAAACAATCGAAGAAGTACGAATAGGTCCAAGGCAGAATTTTAGTTTTTACTATAGAGTTATAAACATTTAAAATGTCAAAAACCCCCATTTTATACACCAATGCCCACCCGTAAATTGGCATCAATTCCGACTTGACACCCACACCAACTGTACTTTGGGCCTAAAAATTCTGACCTTGGGCTGAACCGTGATTCTCCCTTAAACATTTACATGGTGTTCACACTGACATAATGTTTCGTGATAAAAAAAGACATGCTCAAATACCAAAATACCCCTATATATACAGAAAATCACACCGTTTGAACTCTTAACACTGTGAACACTAGTGTGTGAACCATGCTATATAACCAACAATGAGTGTAATGTAGGCCCACGGGCCCTGTATACATGAAACACTGGCATATTCCAATTGGGATATGCTCTGATCTTACAGAACACCTCTTACATCGACCTTACAGCAATATCCCACTGTGTATTGAGAACATTTCCAATGACAAGAATAAAAGATGATCTCGATATGCAGATGAAATATGATGTGAGGTCAGTGTGAGGAGCAGATCCGGACTCAGCATATTCACTCACTCATAAGTGGTTACATATAGCCAAGTTTATACACTTGTATTGGCAGCAAATCCAGCTTATTTTGCCTCTAACAGGCCCCAATCCCAAACACCTTCCCATCACTGAGAGGTTTACATGCAGCACTATCTCATGGTATCGATCGTCTTTTGGTATTTTCGGACAGCGCAGTCTTAATGGAGTTTGCAAACACAGACAACTCAATCCAATGGATAGATCAGCTCCACAGAAGTCATTTACAAAGACTAATCTCTTCTTTTACTTTTATTCGGTTTGTACATATAAATAGGAACTACAATCAAGCGGCCCGTCTTTTTGCATACATCTCATGTAACGGCCGTCTATCACTGCACTATGATATATCACGCACGTACCTCTCATGTAAGATCATTTTGCTGCTTCTTTTGCAAAAAAAAAAGGTGACCGTTCATATTAAAAAAAATGATATGACAAATACTTTGAACGCAGTTTCCAGGAAACTCGAATTGATTCCAAGACCATCTTAGATTGGCTTAGGTCGTCGGCAGCTGGCTGACTTTTATTTGGAATTGAAGCAGAAAGTGAAAACTACGTCCAATTGTGTTAGGGATTGATTACTTGAAGGAATCTTAAAATAATCAATAACGCAACCAACCAAATGAGAATACAATCTGATTGACTTAGGTTGGATTGGAGCCTAAGTCTTTGGATTGTTCTTCTCGGATCAAACCGGGTATAACATAGAATTCAAGTTTGATTTAAAAATGATAATTTATTATGTCATTAACAAAATGAATTACAAATGACTTCAATATTGTATATCATAAACAAAATATATGAAAAGTAAAATTTAGAAAATTTAGAAATAAACATCATTTCAATATTGAAATCATTAAAATTTGCTTGCTTATCTTTAAAAAAAGACAATTTTATTGAATATAAATTTTAATTAAGCGGGAGCATATGATAAAGGTGAAATCCAAATTTAACCAAATTATAGACAAGGAATAAGGACGGATCCATATTGGGTCCAAATTGAATTCGGGTCACCCTTTACCAGGATCCATATTTGCAGCCTAGCAGCTCTAGTCTCCAGCTCCATCCCTTGTTCTAGCATTGCCAAATCAAACCCTGCACATGGAGAAGGAAAATGAAAATCCATCTCTTCTCAAAAGTTCAAAACTAAAAACCGAAACTTCAAGCCAAAAGGGGGGTAGGGGTTGGAAGAGAAACGGAATATCGCTCAAACTAGATTGTTTGATGAGACAAAAACATAAGCAGAGAATGAGATTTACTGTTGGAATTCTATATTGATCACATCAGCGGAGGAAGCATTGGCAATCATCTGAAAAGCGGTGGCGGAGAGAACCATGGTGGTGCCATCCCTCAAGGCCAGAGAGACGGAAGTGGCCGCTCGATCGACAATCCTTACCTGAATTATCTGCCCTTCAACGCAAGTTCCGGGGACCGTCGCGCTTAGGCATCTCACCAGGTACTCTCTCCCGCAGGAGGCCCCATTGTCCCATATCCCTTCACCCGCCGACGCAAACAAATTGTTCGCCGGAAACTGGCTCACATCATTGCCATAACATGCCGTCGCTGTGCATCCCAAGTTCACCCAAAAGCAAAAACAAATGAAGAAAAAAAATGATGAGATTCTAAACCAAGCTGACGGTAAATTTTCAGAGAAGTTTCTGAAGCTTGCAGTACGTAGTTTGTACTCTGTAGATTAATGGCTGGTCGTCGGTGGCCACTTACGCAAATACGGGGGATTGTAGAAGGAAGATGTGCCTACGTCGCCATGAGAGGAGCCGAAGATTGCGAATAAAAAGAGGAGGGATAGGCAGAGATGATGGGTCTTCGGCACCCTGCAAAGATATGGAAGGGAGTTGCTCAGAAGTCAGAACTCAAAAGGTTTCATTGATAATTTGATCATTTTCAGATGGTAGTAGATTGAAACAACGTAGACCAAATGAGAGCCCAGAAAGACCTTAAAACTATTCTGCCATCCACACCGGAATAGATGAAGTTTTCCCGAAAAAAACTGCTCATGGAAGCAGAGACGGGCCAAAAAACGATATTTCGTTGTAAATCGAGCGTATAGACCAAATGACGTAACTCAAGCAAAAGCTCCTAAACGCGAACCCTTTCCTCCTTGCTGAAGTTTCTTCTGCTTAGGGGTTTTCTGTCGAACAATTGACTGCCACGTTGTCACAAGTGACAATTTTGCCGCGCCATCGCCTTCATGCGCCCATGCCTCGCCGACTGAGTATCGTCTAGTGTGTCTTGGGTGAGAGAATTTCTGTATTTTGTATTTTGTATGGAGGAATTGCCGATGGTATTATTGTAAAGACTTTCTCTAGTCTTTCTATTTACTGTAAATCATCTTCACTGTTCAACAATCATTATCACGGAGTAAATCGGGTTTAGAATTTTCTTCGTACATCTTCAGGTTTTTGTTTGAAAGATTGGTCCATCGACTCCATCTTCAGCTAGGTACGTGTTATAGACTCACTCATTTAAAAAAAAAAAATCGTTGACTCACCAATTTGACGGTGAGAGCACATGCTGATCTATATTTACTGTCTACTCCATAAAGTATTGCTTGCTTGATAAGCCAAGGGGTCGATCAGTCCAGTCAACCTAGGATTCCAAAGTGTTCGATTAATATATGGTAAGAGTCCGTTTGGTTCGCATCTGAAATCGGAATAAAAAATCTTTGGAATTGGAATCGAAATCGTCTATTCCTATAGTCTGTTTGGTTCAGATAAGTATAGGAATGGGAATTGGAATCAGCAGGAATGAGATTTCATTCCCAAGAGGGGTAAGGAATAACCGTTCTCTCAAATGGGAGAATGCTATTCCAACAGGACTAGGAATGAGATTCCAATAGGACTAGGAATCGGAATGGGCTATTCCGATTCCAATTCCAGACCCCTATTCCTGTGAATCAAATAGGGCCTAAATACTCCACGGGTATTTAGGCCATGCTAGGCTTGGGGTTTCAGGTCCATAGGTCGGGCTAGCACGTCAGCTCGTAACACGGCCCTATATATTATTTATATATAATTATATAATAATATATGGTATATAATATATTAGTAAAATAAACAATTGTTTTTAATTTTATTATACTATTTTATTTAATTATTGTATATATAAACAATTGTATATATCAAAATTCATATAAAATAAAAATTTTAAGATTTTTTTAAATTAATCCTTTCATAGTCCACAGCCTGGCCTGGCCTGGCCCAATTAGGCTTGGCCCAGAGACCAGCTCGGCCCGTGGCACGACATGGGCTCGGGCCATGGATCATGCTGGAATGACCCCCCAAAATATCCCAGGGGAGGAAGGCACGGCCTGGAACAGCCTACAAACCGTGACGTGCTGGCCCAACACGAACTGTTTTACAACTTCAGTACACCCTTTCACCACTAATCCATTGTGTCTAGCAAATAGCAATCAATGTTCAGAAGTTTGCATTTATGTTTGAAGTATTTCAAAAAATGGCCGATATTTGAAACTGGAACTGGTTTAATGATTTTAGTTGGACTGGATGGTTCGATGGTTTTGGCTGGTTTTTATGAGTTTCAGTTTTAAGGGCATGACTGAACCTAATAGGGGCTGGTCACGGTTCAATAATTCAATTGGTCCAACTGACTAGCACACTATGCCTTTTTTAAATAGTGCTAATAATGTTGTAAGACTTGAAATGGATTTAGATTTAGGCCATGTTTGGGAGTGTTTGCTTATTCGAAATAAGTGTTTATTTAGGCCGGGACCATACCATTAAGCACTTTTTGGTGTTTGGGAAATAAGCTTGAAATAAGTGCTTATTTAAAAATAAGGACTTATTTTTTAAGTCCAAATTTTCAGCTCTTTTTAAGCTATGTTTGGTGATTAAGTGGTTGTTAAAATAAGCGACAAGTACTTATTTTAACAACCACTTAAGGCTGTTTGGTAACCCACTTGTCAAATCACTTATTGTGTTTTTTTAAACACTTATTGGGGGGGAGGGGTTGACGAGCTACTTTCCCTACAAGTGCTTATATTGGCATAAATGACACTTTTAGCCCTCAATTCACTCATACATATAAACAATACTTTTAACATAATTATATTATACATTTTAATGAAAACTCGCAACATCACCATATCATGACACATGAGAGCCCATGTGGGTCCACACATGGAGTGCCATGTGGATTAATAATAATAATAGTAATTATTATTATTATTATTATTATTATTATTATTATTATTATTATATAACAAATAATAAACACTTCCAGAAGTCACTTTCAATAACCAGTTTCCAAAAAAGATCACCAATGCCAATGGGAATTTAAAAAAGTAAAAGAGGAAAATTTTGGTTATTCAAAAAAAATATTAAAAACATCACCAATAAAAAATTCATGAAAAAATGCAATGTGAATTTAACATCACCAAATAATATTTACTAACAAAGTTTCACTATTACACTAAACAAATAAAAAATGCAATCACAACTTCACAAGTATTCAAAAAAAATAAACATTTAACTAATTATTAATCACAACAACATATACAAAACATAACAAATATTCATATAAAAAATAAAGAAAAATGCAATGACAAATCAAGAATACACGCAAACATTTAACTAAATATTAATCACAACAAAATATAAAAAAATATCACAACTATGCATATCAAAAATAAAAAAAATGCAATCACAAATCAAGAAAAATATAAACATTTAACTAATTATTCATACAAAAATCAAGAAAACATGTAACCCACATATTTCAGCATATTTTTTGCATGTTTTTCAACAAAAAAATGCAGAAAAAATTTCTATTTATGCATAGGAACCATCACATAGACAATACAAAAAAAAGGCATAAATATTTTGGATTTCTCATTTGAAAAATCTAAAAAGAAAATGAATCAAACAAATATTCACCCCCCCCCCCAAAAAAAAAACATCAAACATGGAGGGGAGGAGTTTGGGCAAACTAACCTTTGTTTGCTAGCGGCTAGATGATGGGGCATCGCCGTTAAACTCGCCCAATCACATATCTGCGTATATGGAGAAGAGAGAGGTTTCAGGCGTTAAAAAACCCCTTCAAAGTGCTTCAAATAAAAAAAAAACACAAAAATAGTTAAAATGGCAAAACGACATGTTTGTCAACCATTTTTTCGCACTGTCGCTCGTCGCTGGTGGGCCTGCAACTGAGTTCACTGCCTTGTGTGTTTGTTGTGTTCGAATAGGAGGGGAGGGAAGAAAACCCTCGTGCAGGGGTAAAACTGGTATTAAAAAAATATTTTGGGACTGAATCATCCCATTCAAATTGAAAAGGCATTTTTTGGAGAAATGCTGAAGAAAAAGCAACTCTAAGGTCACTTTTTTATAAGTACTTTTTAAAAGAATACTTTTTGATGACTTTTTTTATCAAATACACATAAGTACTTCTTTACCACTTAATGTGTGTCCTAACACTTAAAATAAACACTTGTTAAAACAGGTGCTGTGGGGCGGAGATGTGAACTCGCGTATTGGATTAGACGGTGGAGTAATAATTTTTGACAAGGGGATCGTTGTTTTATTTAACCTCTATTATCATCTATAACAGTATACATTTGTAACATTACTTTTGCATTTTCGAGTGGGGAAAATCTATGCTGTCCGAAAGATAATATAAAAGGGCTTTGAACAATCAAAACCCTCTATGAATTTTGATAAACCACCTTATTGGGCTCAGATTGGATATTATTCGTGTTTGATTTCAGGTTCAGTTGGGCCATGAAAACTGACAAAGTGAGAATCAGTGGCCTCTTGGATCTTGGTTAAATGATGGTTTTTATGAGTTGAATGGGCTAGTCCTATAATTAACCATAAAAGCTATGTAATTCGAATGTTTAGAAGGCTCCATTAGGAGTGTCAATAGGACTGGATTTGGTCCAATCCGATCCAGTCCAATGTGAATCCATTACAATGGATCAGATCTAATTCAATCTAATGAATATTTTGAACTATTTCGGATTGATCCAATTCAATGTCTGGACCATCCAATCTATTTAAATTCGTTTTAATTTAGATTGATTTCAACCCAAACTCTTGTTCATTGACACCTATTTTCTTATCTTATATCAATGGATTAAATATTGGCTTAATCCAACCCAATTCAATATAAATTTATTACAAATGGACCAAGTCTAATCAAATCTAATAAATATTTTGGACTGAATTGATCCAATCCAATATATCTTATTGACCCGTCCAATCTAATCCAAAACCGATCTATTGACAACCTTAAGCCCCATGTCATTGATAATTACAAGGGGCCACAATGAGATGTTGAATGACTGTGGACCCATATATCTTATGACCGGTGTAGAGTGTTATCATTGGTTTTAGAGCCTGCTAAATAATTATTGCGTTCAGGTAATCCTATAACTTTGTATAAAAGTTAATAAAGGTGTCATGCTAACATTTTTATTCAAAATGGAAGTAAGCATTTACATTTAAAATTGATCGATATAAAAGAAAAAATCAATCTTAAAATCCAGGTTTGTACCAACATAATCAAATGAATAGACTAATTCGATTATTCTAATATAATAAAAAAGAAAAGAAAATGAAACTACAAATGTGAACTGCTTGACTAAAGCTTTGGTATACGGTCAACAAATGCTGCAGTCACGTGATAGGGTGATGGTGCCCCTCAAAGAAGATATTATGAGGCCTGGCCCCTGGGCCATGTTAGAAGATTGAAATGATTGGGGAGTCTGGGGCACAATAGGCTGTGTGGCACAAATGATGAATCAGTTTGGAATCCTCTACAGTATTACTAGTACTGGACAGTCTGGACCATGATACTTGATTAGGATTCGGACCGGGCCTTGCATACTCATCCAGTACCCCGAAGGTATGATTGACCTGGGACACTGGAGGCCCAAACAGCCAGGCCCAGACCACAACCATACCATACGTGGAACAGAAGCGAAAATTAGGGCGAGATTCACTTAATACGGTGGATCAGTTCCGCTATTTCTGAAATAAATAAAACATTTTTTTTAATGTTCTAACGTTTGGTTTGTGAAAATAGGGGTCTAGAATGGGACATTTCATTCCAACTGTTTGATAGGGTAGAATCAGAATCTTATTTTAATCGTTAGTGGAACGACATTCTTCCATTTGAACGAATGGCCATTCCCTTTTCCTCGAGAATAAAATCTCATTCCAGCTAATTCCAATTCCTATCTGAATCAAACAATTATGAAAATAGACTATCTCGATTCTGATACTGGTTCTGATTATGAACCAAACAGACCAAACGGGCCTAAGTTCTAATGCTTCCATTACACAGCAAAAAGCAACATATATTTCAGTTAAAATTTTGATCCAAAAACCACTATTTGAATAATAAGTTTCAAG